TATTTCTATATTTCTATCAAAGCAAATACAGATAAGAATATCAGTGCAATTATTTCGGTTTTTCTTTTTTTCCGTTATTATTTGATAGGTACTTATTAATTGTTATGATTAATAATTATAATCGGGATCTTGGAAGCGATACACTCGCATAAAGCCCCGAGCTTTTAGAGACCAAATGAGACAAATTAAAATGAATGGACTAAGAATAATTGTATTGTAAAGATTTACCTACGCGTGATATTAAAAGTTGAAAAAGAAAAAAAAAACAGAATTTTATTGAGTCCCCGCAAAAATTACTGAACGGGGCCTCGATATTTTCTAAGGCTGTTCTGGCTAATAATAATAATGACGGATAATGATATAATAACAACAATAATTATTTGTTTCGATTTTAGTCGAAATACTATGAAATTACTCGTATTATTCAAATTGCTAACCTATTTTCCAGTATGTATATTATAATTACGTATATGATTTCATTAAACACTGCACTTAACACTATTATTGGAATGATTTTTAACGGTAACTGTTGGTCAACGATACCTAGTAAAATTGGTGACAATATTAAAAAAAAAAAAAAAACCTGTAATTAAAGAAAATAATGCCTATATTAAATCGTTCAAAATAACGTTTGAATCGTTTAATGTATGTGTATGTAAACGAGTAGTTAATTGGCAAATACAAAAACGGAATAATTGCAAGAACAAAAAGCATATTACCCAAAACGAATTACGTATAAAACTCGAGTTTCGATGTGACTTGCAAATGGAATGTAAACGCCGAAATATTATATTATATTATCAGTGTATGTTTAAGTTCCTTTTTTTTTTTTATTGGCGGGTTTTTGATTCGTGTTCGGTAACGTTACACTGTGCAACTCGGTATAACTCGCGGCTACGCTCGTGTGCATGTTTTGAAACTAAAATGTACTTATATTGTGGCAACACTAAACTAAATTTGTTTTCCGCGCAACCAACGGAAACCGGAAATCCGGAAATAATATAATTATAGATTTTCGCATTCAACAAATATGATCCCAGATCCGTTATTTAGGAATCGAATTACGGGATGAAAAAAATTTGGTTTCCTATTCGTCCTGTTCCGGCAGCTGCAAGATAATATACTCGACCTGCCGGTTTCTATTAAAATCCGTTGGACCGTTTTATAGTGATTGAATAACAAACATCCGAACACACAAACATTTCATAATATCAGTTATAGACACCTATCCGGAAAAATAACAGTCGGTATCGTTTTGGGCGCCGATATGATATTATGATTGATTTGCCCTAATAAAATTGTCCGAAAAATACTGTTTTAGAATTTCGCGATAGTAACAAATAGGAATTATCAATACTAACGATGTTTTCAGAGAAATCGTTTTTATTATCGTTCGGTACAATTCTGTACGAGATTACAAACACCGCGAAAAAGGCGTCATAAATTGTATCGTTTTTTTTTTTTCTACTCAAATACCTGTATGTGATATTTATACACAATTTATAACTACAACTGTTAGAGAAAAAGGATCGTAATTGTTATTCCCAGAGATGGTGGGCTTAAGCTATACGTCTATAATTTTCAGTGCAAACAAATTAAGTTTAAAAAACGCCACAATTGCGCCGTAATTGCTAAATGTCCTAACCCGAATACGGCGTTCTAAATGGCTTAAGTCGTGCAATTTTATGACTTATTCATTTACCAAACGAAATGTACATCATGGTGTCATCTTAAATTTCAATGGAACGCGTGTTAGAATACACGTATACACTCATACAATTTAGACGAAAAAATAAAGGGAAAACAATTATTACAAAAGACAAAATTTCAAAAAAAAATTGAATCGGGTTCCCCGGAACCAAAGGTTTATAGTAATAAAGAACCTAATAGCTTATTTAAATTTGAATACACAATGATTTCAAGTTTACATTGCGTGTTATACTAAAAGTGTGAAATCACGCCCCGCGTAGTAGGTACAACCAAATATCAATAAACAAAAAGTAGGTACCTAAAGTCAGTATCTATACGAATCGGCTTGTTCGGACTTGTTTATATACTTACCGGTGACGACGGACGACGATAAGATTATGACAATTGAAACGCTGAAAAATCCGGATTTGCTCATCGCGGCGACCGCCGCAGAACCGGGCAAAATCATAATCCGACAAGGCGGTGAGAATCGACGGAATTTTCTATTTTTTTTTTTTTTATTTATTTTAGTTTCGCAGTCCTTTTCCGGAAAATCGCTTCCTCCGACGATATCACGTACGGTGATAAAAATGACAGTGAAAATACCGCGACGGTGTCGTACAAATTATTATCACGACACGCGGACGAAAACGGACGATGGACTTTGTGGACGACCGGCGAAACCGTAATTGTGGTAAGCGCGTACCGTACGCAACCGTGTGTCGCGTATCCGTTTTTTTACGTCCGTCGAGCACGTAACACAGAGCTTAGTCACAATAATACATACCTACCTACCTATATACCTAATAATAATATTATACAACATTGTTTAAGTGGGGGTGCGACTCGGCGATCCGACAGGCGCGCAACGGTGTATGTTTTTGTCCGTCGTCGTCGTCGTCGTTTTTTTTTGTATTTTTTTTTTTTTTTTTATATATACTAATAATATAAATTATTATTATTATTCGACGCGCGTGCCTATACGCGTATTATAATCGACGGACTATTGACACAGAAATCGAACGCGCCAACGTTTATAATAATATTGATAATTGTACAGTTATATTGTCCGCATATAAGCACGATAAAGAATTCGTATAAGCGCCGCCGCGGTGGCTACGAGGCGACGAATTCGTTTTTTTTTTTTAAAGAGCGAATACTGCCCGCGGACAGGACACTGAGAGTCGGGAGGACATAGGATACGCTCGTAATCGATACTCGTAATATACTCGGAGCATAATTAAAGTGTGAAAAGGTCTAATGTAAACTCCGCCGGTTTCGTTTTCTTACCAGTTATGGGTGACTCTCGAAATCGAAAAAACTGCCGATTGATATTGGTTTAACGCGCCGAATAGATTAATTTTATTCATATTTCAAAACAATTTCATCTTCGTAATATCTGAAAACAGTATTCTCAACGACAATGTCGCCAGTGAGTACCTACGTATGTACTTTGAAGACATAATATCTCGTAGCGTTCTTCCGTGCTGTGTTTACAATATTTATGTCGAACAAAATGTGTCCGAAATAAAAATAATTACTGACCAACGATCCGATTTGTCGGTTTTATTTAAAAATTATACAAGTACAACAAAAACATCAAATACGCATCTGGTGAAATAAAGTGGAAGTGCAATTACAAAAATTGAAATACATTTATTAAAACTGTTGAAGCGGAATAACATAATATTATTACTTTAACAAATTAGTCAAGCGATATTCACATTACTTCATGCCTTCCAATTTCAAACCAAATACTAGAAAGACAAGGAATTTACATGATCTTAATTTCACCTGATTATTTTCTTTAGCGAAGATTACGCAAAAAGTTCTCCTGGCGGAGTTTACATGAGCCCGTTCAGAGCTCAGCATACTGATAAGGTCGGAGGCAAATTTAGGACTAGACTACCTAGGCTGTAGCCTAGGGGCGCTACGACTTCGAGGGGCCCCAATAATTTTATATTTTGTTAGCCGCCTTATAGATAAATCCGGCCATGAGTAAGATTAGACCGTCGGCTTGGTTTAGAATCAGAGGGACGAGTCAACCAAAAACGGATTTTTCTTTCTTTAACGGGTACGAAACAATTTTTGAAAATAATTTTAGTAGTGTGCTAAGCAATTTTATAGTACATGTCCCTCTGTTTTTAATCCTACGGTACTGCCTGCATTATTAAAGTAATGTTTTCCTTCTTGGAAGTTCAGAAAACCTATATCTATATATATATATATATATATATCGTCATTAGTATTTTATGGCTTTTTTTAATTTTTTAGAAAAAATTTTGAGTCTACAAGAAATTTGTTCGGATGAATAATCACTGGACACAAATTTAACATATTTTAAGAGAACTTTGTAATTTTCTCCTAAATAAGGGTACATAATTTGCGATCACCGCACCAAAACCACTATCGGTTGGTATGTATCGGTTATCGGGTATTCGATTATTTAGGTGGTAGGTATATCGTCGCTTATAAGTTATTACTTATAAGTTACTTACTTAGTTATATACAACAGTGCATGTAACTTAGTTTTTGTCGTTAACAAAAAACATTTTAAGAAAACAACACTTATCGCAACTATTTCCATGCGTTATTGTTGGCTAAGATACGTTGTGTTAATACGAAATTCTTAAATAAGTGATGTTATCGTTTTCTTGATTTATGATTCAACCACGAGTCTAACAGAAAGATTATAGAAAAAAAAACATTTATTTTATTACTATCCGCAACAATCTAATTTTATAAAAAATTTTAAATACGTGCTATTATAGTAGGTATATCATATTGATATAGATCATTTCCGGTTCATTGTATCCAAAAGACTAGGAATTCAAACCGCAATGTTTTAAATTTTGAATATTGTAATTTTTTTTTAAATTTTGATCAAATTAATTAAACGAATAACGTGAAAAATTCGGAACATTTATTGGCTCGCCGAAAAAGCGTGTACCGGATAAAACAACACAAATTACAATGTCTAAATAGTTAGAATAAAAAAAAAAATAATAATAATAACCCCGTTAGTGTACGTATAATTATGTATAAGTATTTTCCAATTAAAATCGATATGTGAAATCAAAAAAAAAAAAAAAAATGTATAATAATAATAATAATAATTAATATGAAGAAATTTAAAAAAATATTTATGTATGTGTATATATGTTAAAATGCACAATGATTGATAAACGTCATTACAATATTTATTATTATATTATGCAACATATTATAATATTAATCTATTCGTATTATCGTATTATTTTATTGTTGCAGTGTACGTATATAGTATTAACATTTTTTTTTTCTTTTTTTTCTTATTGTTCAATCTGTTTGTTGACCGTAGTGGTGATAACGGGCCCGGTGGATGACCAACTCTCCTCGAACGATTCTTCGGACGAGAATTGTTGCGACGAAGACATGACGGTTTTCTTTTTGATGCCGCCGTTCGGCAACTTTTCCACCGTTTCCGACACCGACTTGAGCGACTCTTCTGACTGCACACTTTTGGCCTTCTGTTCCAGATGCGAGTTGGCTGTGTCTTTGGTCACCTGCAAATCACAAAAAAATTAATAAATACATAATGGATAGGTAAATGGGAAACGAAAACAATATACGAGGAAAGAACGAAAGTTAAGGGAACGCCTATACCAATACCTAGAGAGGTGACGATTACCGGGACAAACAGCCGGAACATCAAAACAGTCTATCGTATCAATAAAATGGAAAGACCATATAATTTGCACTGGTTAAATACTTTAAACCAATGTTATTTTCTAGAAAAACAGAATTACGTCTATTTAGTAAATAGTTATAGTGCACTGACTCGGTAAAACGTTAACCTAGACCGTTAACAGCGCGTATAGTATAAATGAAACTAACAATACTTGTGTGTGAAACAGTTTTCGATTTGGAGTTTAAATGTTGGCGCGTAAAAGGAAAAACGCGAAAATAGAAAAAATGACGCGGGTGACCGACCATTCGTAACAACTCGTGCGAAGAGACAAAAAATGCAGTGACTGGTACCGAATGAGTGGAAAATATCCATGGTGGATCCCCCCCCCTGATTATTGGAGGACAGTGACAGTGGCGGCAAAAACACTTGCAGAGTTGTGAAACCGTATAACGATGATAAACGAGAACAGCTTTGTTTTTAACGAATTCGCATGCGTAGGTGGAGTGACCAAAACATCAGAATTGCAGATTCGTTAACGGCATATTGTACTCCGCGAATAACACAATATGCGCATTTGCACGAAATCGATAAAACATTTCGTAAAACTGCATCATTGCAATGCGGCGATGATATAATTGTTTATGCGTACACAATCTGATTCATCCAATTAGCTGATCGTTTTTTTTTTTTGTTTTTTTTTTTCTATTTTAATATTATTATCATTGTTCTCAAGAATATTGAAATATTGAAATCTATCTGGAAAATTATTAATTTTCGAACGGGGATGTTTTAAACGGGTCGACCCGGTCTAATTGAAATAATACAAGTTGGGCTCGTGAACGTAATATGCACACACAACGGTAAGCAATATAATGTTATGCACGCAACGAATTACGTATCGCAGGTAAGGAAATCGATTTATTTTACATTAAAAATTTAAAATCGCTTTTATGCTGCGCTTGTCCACATAATAACATATTATTAATATTACAAAAATACGCGTAGGTATAATCGCTATTTCGGTTAACGGGCGTAATATGCTGTGTGTAACGAATATAAATTGGACGGATCATACTTCAAACGACTGCGCTTTTATTATTTCGACGGGAAAAAAAAAAAAATTACTTCTTAATTCCCACGTGCGCCGACTGTATACTGTATACGTATATATTTAGTGTAGCGCAGTGGAAACTTCCTATTATTTATTTGGAAAATATCATGAAAGCAAAATGGCATTTATCAATACGTCAAAACCGTTGAAAAGCTTTTTCGACGGTTTAAAACTTGGAATGAACACAATGTGACTTGCATTATACGGTGTACAGAAAACGCGTTAAGGCGTTTTGGACAGAAACAAAATATCGAGTTATATTCTTTAACTTCTCGTAACTAATACATTTTCCGCATTTCACCTATATTTTTAATATTTACGGACGGATGTTCCAATTGTATAATTACGACAGATCTCAAACTCGTTTAGTTTTCATCCGAATTACCTGCGGGTCGTGTTCGTGGTTTTTTCCGAGTTATTATATTCTCAACAGATCTTAACAAACATTTCAATACATTTTAATTTTTACATTGATAACGGTCGACCTATATTTTTTTTTTCTTTTATGCAACACATGTTTTACATTTTACAGGGATAACATTCACACCTCGTTAGAAAAGAGGAAAATAATGTAAATTGGATTTCGATATTGAATGGAGCGTATGATGTATCGTATTTACAATGATATTTTTATTTTTTTTTTTTCAATGAAGAACTTTTCTACCAGAAATTTCGCTCCAATTTTCAAGTGTAGCACTTTTTCTTACGGCTTATTTTTATTTTTTTTTTTTTCTAGAAATATATAAGAAGTAACATAGTTAATCAACAACAGCAACGACGTCTGTCTATCAATTAATATCTATTTTTAAGAATAAACGCAAACAGAGTACCTACGCCGCCGTATAACAATATACGAACTGGTTGTAAAGACGCCATCCGGTGAGTTTCGAAAAAGGAAAACGGCAAGAAAAAAAAAAAAAAACCGGCGCGTCTTATACGCATATTGTAATATACTCGCCGCAGACGTCTAGTTTTACGTGAAACTTTCTACTAACTATGCGCCCTGCGCGGAAAGTACCTTATAAATGCATTTTCGGGAAACATATTATCCGCGCCACGCGGATTATATTATACCTAATTAAATCGGTAATAAAAAAAAAATATATATATATATATATAATATATAAATTAATTTAATCTACTGTATATATATATATATATATATATATGTATACCGCCGGTTTATATTATATAGGATTACCGAGGTACAGTTTTAGAGAGCGCTTATTTTCCCTTATATACATAATATTTGGGTTTAGTTCGGGGCCCGACGACGTGCGCGCGTTTTAATCGGCTCTTCTATATTATTATGTTGGGTAGGTACCGTGTTAACTAAAAACACCACCTGGGGCATATTTATTTTATTTTTATTTTTTTTTTTTTTTTCCGTTAACGTTTTCTCTCAGAGATGGATTTTTTTTTTTTTTTTTATCGCGACGTCGAAAGTAGAAATAAAAAAATGTCCGTTTCGAAAATATGTGGCAGCCCGAAGCTATATATAAAGGTTTATATATGGGCCGGTTCCTTTTTTTTTTTTTTCTTTTTTTTTCCCCCCCGCTGCTATCCCACTCTCACAACTCGGCCCCGTTGCGAATGTGTGGATAGCGGGTCGCATATATACTCGAAAAATTATAAAACCGAGATTAAAATACACATAATAATACAGGCAAATAACACAGACGCAGTGATTTATACTTTTTTTTAACGATTATAACGCGTCAAAACTTCGTTAATTCGACAATTGTACGCCTAACCCACATACAATTACTTTCAGTAGCGGTATAACTATACAAAAATACCCGAAATCCACAAAAACCCGTTAACTCATAAATAAACAACGACTAATGCCAATAAAATTCCCCAGATCGGTCGGTGTTTCGTATATCACACAGATAAACGATAACATTGCTATCGAAACACGTACGCATTGATACTTTCTAATAAGTTAACGGTTTATTAGCATTGTGAATGCTCTATGTTGTTTTTGACTACGACTGTTATTATCGTCCAAAAATGTCCTAAAAAGCTATTAGGCCGTATGTAATAACGGGATTGGATACCGGATACGTTTTTTATCTCTTTCTTTCAGTTTTTTTTTTTTAAACTTTCAAAGAAAATATATTATCTGCACGTACAAATGTACAAAATACAATGCACAAATGCTGTGTTATAGAAACAAAACGATTAAAAATACATATTTCAATAACATTAACATGGGAACGGGTGACACCCGTTCGAGGCACTCCTACTGACTTTGAATTAGAAAATTGCTGGTTGATTGAGCAATGTAATGGTTGTAAATGAAGAAGGTCTCTACGCCATAATCTGTTTAGACAGTGACAAGGGTTGTCAGGGAAATTAGCGGAGGAGAGATTATTTATAAGCGTATTAGGACGATTAAGTTTTTATAACGGGGTATTGGCAGTTTGATTTTCTTTATCTAACACACAAAAGCCGCAGCATAAAGATTTAGATAAATTTCCTTTCGATCGGTCCGCAGTGAAGCCATATAGCAATTCTGAAAAATAATAGATTTGAATTCTGGCGTGAATTCGGCCAGGCCACTTTTAAATTTTTAGTGTAGCGAAGAATGTATTGGTTTTACAAAGATGTTTATTTTATTGTTTTTTTCCTGTGCAAAACTTTTTTACCAGCAATTTTACTCCGATTTACAATAATAGCAATTTTTCTAAAAGGAAATCTGATTGGGAAAATACTTTGAAAAAGTCGATTTTTCCAGGAGTTTTCTCAAAAAATGTGAAAACCGAAAAAAAAAATGAGAAAATATACGAAATATAGGCATTGGTTAAAAAATATGTATAAACCAAGGCTTACAGATACAAATTAATTTCCCCTATATATCTGCCTACCGTTCCAAATTCTTACCAAGAACAGTAGCTGCACACATCTAGCGAAGTATGTCTGTTTTTTTTTTAAATTGATTTGAAATGTTCAAATCCGTTTTCTATATTGGAATTGAAACACTGAAATACCAAAAAGGTGGCCAAACTCGCTGTATCCTCACGTTGAATTTAAAATCCGTTTTCAGAATAGTTCCTATCGCTCGACAACATCGATCGGACTGTTTGACGGTAAATCGGTTTAAATAATTACTATGCTTAATGTTTACGCGTTAGATAAAGAAAAAATATATTGGTATGCAATTAAAAAAAAAAAAAATAAATATGTTTGTGTTAATTTTCAGGCATTCGCCTGCTTACATATACACAGTACAAATAATAATATAATTTGTCTTAAATAAACAATATGATATTAACGAGCACTTTGAATAGTAATATAATATTTAAATGTACGTAAATAAATCGTTATTTGTTTGAAACAATTTTCGATTTTTATGGGTATTTTTTTCCAAGTAATTAGTTTTTATTGTACAATAAATCTACGCGCCTCCTATTTTAGGAGTAAAGTGAAAGCAGATATATTTACGTCGACGTACGATGTGTATTCAATCGGTATTTCGCGTAACACAGGAACAAAACGTAAATAAAAATTAACTCTCAAAATTCGATAAAAATTGACACTGCTCAATATTGTATGCGGGTAATTGGAATATGGTAGGATAATTCAGTTGATTGCAGTTGTACTGTATATTTGCAACGATAAATGATTTCAAACGAAAAACGATTCTGAACGGAGTAGTATATATTAGTAGTATTGTCCCTTACTGTGAAAGGCAGCTGCAGAATCAACAATAATAAAAAAAAAAAAAAAAAATTATGGTGTAAACTACTAAAAATATCGATAAATTGTTCAAATAAACTACTGCCGAGCAAATATTCCGCATCTTTTGAAGTACCCTATAAAAATAATCGGAGTATTTGCCAAACCAGACAAGAAATAGATTAAAAAATCTATTTCATGAAAAAAGTATTAGGAATTTTGAAATATTTTTCAAATAAAATACTATCAGGTGACAAATCTGCATCTTTTGATGAAAATATTCGGATCATTTTTACTAACCGAAAAAGACATTTTCCGAAAAAAAGAAAACTGTACATATTTTAATGAAACTAAGTGAGTTCTTTTAGACACTCGAAATCTAAAAACTTATCACATTTTATTGTAGCAATATAATTATCTTGCATTCTTGCCTACTAAATAACGGGTATTCATATATGTATAGACGTTTATAATTACGGTTCGTTTTCAGTGTTTACTTGTTTATTACAGTTGTTTGATTTTTTATTACGTATAATTATACTTAAAGTATTTGAGATTAAAAAAAAAACTATTACTAAAACTATTAAAACTCTACGACTCCTATATTTCATCCTTGCGATTTCAAACCGTGTGCACGTACCTATTTCAAATTATCGTTCGACTATTAGAAATACAATGAAATATACCTACATAACGTACTAGAATACTCCGATTCACAAAAATTCGTGCTGATAATATTAATTATAATTACCTCTTTGGTACGCTCAGCCACCGATGACGTCTCTTCGGTCGCCGTCACCGTTTGTTTTCCGGTATTGGGTTTCTTTTCGATCGTTTGAACTTCCATTATAACGATTGGGCGGTGTTAATTATTATTATTATTATTATTACTTTTTTTTTTTTTTTCAAGTCTGTAAGTGTTTTTTTTTTATATATACAATAATAAAAAAAAAAAAATTGGTTTTTAACTAGGTATTTTTTTTTTTTCTTCAACGGCTCGTGACGACTATAAAACACCACGATGGCGTTTAGTCGTTCTTTTTATAGACGCTACGGGCGACGGGCGGCAAGGGTTTCACTTCTTCCACTTCTTCGTCGTCGTCGTCGTCTTCGTAATCGATTTCTATATCGTCGTCCGATAGTTCCTCCCCGGAATCACTGTAATCCCTTTAGGAAAAAGAAAAAAAAAAACGACGAATAAAATATAAACATATATATGGGTATATATATATATTATATTATATATTGTTATGTACGGATTGTGTACGCGCCGTCGTTGTTGTCGTTTGATATCCGAACGAAAACGTCCCGAAGCGGAAAAAAAAAAAAAAACATACTGCGAGGATATTTGGAGATTTTTAAGGACACAATATTTCATAATAATAATAATATTCTTATTATATGTAACTGCGCGACAACCGGCGCATTTATTACTATCGTATTACGGCCGAGGGTGTACCGCCTCGTTTCTTTTCTCCGAGTGTACCCTTACTTTGGAAGTTTTTATGTTCGCGAAAATACTATATGTACGATATTACGTTAAATCCGTCCAGTCGTTTAAATATGAATAAGTATACGACTGTATACCTTGTATTATTATATCCTGCAGGAGAGGCGCAACTGTATATAGAACAAAAAGATTTGGGTGGCTGCTCCCGCCGTTCGGACGACCAGGAGGGTGGTTCTGGAAAGGCGAGAATGGTGAAACTGAAAAAGACGATGCGAAATAAATCGAATTTCCGCGATTTGATTAGTGGTTTATTTGCAAATATTACCGATGTGGATTTGACGAGAAATCTAGGCGTTTTGGAAAATTCAAACGAATGAAATCTACGCGTTTTCGCCAACATTGTGGAAAAAAAGTGTTTGGAAACCACAGCGTTAATAATGCTTTTGAAATTGTTTTAATACCAGTTAACTTATAGGACGCGTAGATAGAGTAGATACTCAATGGTCTATAAAATTTGAATTTTTCTATAGTTTCGAAACGTCTTGGAAAAAGCGGTTCGACCGCGGTCAGAGACGTCCGAATACGTCGTCTTGCATATTGTGCGACGTATGTAATATTATTATATTAAGTGTTTATTTTTAGTCTGGTGGTAATATAGAAGCACTTTTTGCAATTTTTCCACTAAGAAATGTGTTACTTTAGCCAAATTCAAACAAAGACTGCAGCAGCTGTCCTCGTTTTTTTTTTTTTTTTTTTTTTGGTTATCCAATTATCAATTAATTAATTAATAATAATATAATGTAGTTTGTGTTGCATCGTAAAAATCGGACTTCTCTAATAAATATAATAATGACCAACGGAAGTTGCGTGTTGTAATACTATCTAATATAACGATCATATTTTATAAGTATTTATATGAATTCTGTAAATCTATATACAATTTGCATTATATAATAATGTAATTAATAAAACGTCAGGTACCGTTCTGGTGCTGGTAGAATAGGTTTGTTTCTGAACAGACCTGGTAGTACTGGGATCTAAGTTCAACAGCAGGCAGCGCTGATATCGTTTATCGTGAGGGGCCACCATCGCGCGCTAACTTGTTTAGATCATTAAACGCCACGCATAATATTTAATCGATTGAAATGTTCGTTAGTGCGCCGTCGTCGAAAACAATACGCTAGTTATGTACGGTCCGGATGCATGACTGTCCCCCTTATTTTCGTACAACAAACTACTGCCGCTGAATCAAGATTCCAATGCAGTTTTCAGAATAATGAAGAGAACCGTGGTCGCCGTTTGAACACCAACGTTTGAAAAAAAAATAACCCTCGTCCAAATCGTGTACACGGCTCCAAGGCAATGAATATGCAATAAGTGAAAACGTATAAAACCTTTGGTCATTGAAAAACAACGCGATTTGTGAAAATAAAGGAGGGGGAAATCGAAAATGTCACTACATCGGGTAGGTCACACTATGGGGCAAAAACAAGTCGCGTGGCTGTACGATAATATAGGTACACTAATAGAACCTTAATACAAAATTATATTCTAATATTTCGTCGGCAACGGTGATTAATAATGTGCGTGGCCTCCTATTATTTTGTTGACGACCAGCTGCAATATCCAATTAAATAAAACGAAAACGAAATAAGTGATAAAATCGACCAGATCATCAAATCTGATTATATTAAATTATTATAATAATATTAAACTGTTAAATAAAACTAAATTTCAAACAACACTCCAAAGTTATGAATTAAATACTAAAAAAATAAAAATAAAATATTATTCATATCGATTAAAAACATAATTTATAATAATAATAATATAATTCGTCAAGTTTTAATTTTCAATTTGTTTTACATGAATATAATTTGAATCTTTTCTTTCAACAACATATTATATTAATATTATTATTATATTATTTATATATATATATAGGTACGTAATTAGGAAAAAATATATTTATTATTGTAAAATTGACAACTATATATTTAAAGTTTAAAAAAAAAAAAAAACAACTTTTCGCGTAGCGGTTTTTTTAACAGCATTTTCAACATATATTATTATTATGTCAACTACAACACGCTGCCAGATGGTTAAACGCTAAAAGCCCCGACGACTTACAGTTGTTGATCTTGGATGGATTCCGGATGGTGAAGGAGGTGACTACTGTGCGTCTGTTCACCTAACAAAAACGAATCGATCACGTTTCCAGTCTTTTTCGGTCCGTCGCCGCCGGCGGTGGTGCTGTCGGGTGCGGCCGGCGCTTCGCCTTTTTCCAACACAACGAACTGGGAACTGTCATCGTTGTCCGTCACTTTTTTGGGCTTCTCTGGGCCTTTCACTTCGGCACCGCTTGCCGGCGGAACCACTGGCTTAACGTCATCCTTCTCCTCGATTTTATCTTCGAATTTCACATGAGCTGGCGACGGTTTAACGTCATCCTTCGGCTTCGGCGCGTCTTTTTCCACCGGTTTGGGAGCTTCTTCTTCCTTTTTGGTTTCGGTCGGTTTCGATTTTAAGTCTTTTTCCGGCACCAATTTCAGACCTTCTTTCTCTATAATTTCGAACTCTGGTTTTAATTCAGTAGAATCTTTATTTGGAATCACTTTAGTGGGTTGTTCCCTTTCTATGATTTCGAATTCAGGTTTCGATTCGGAAGGGTCTTCCTTCGGAATGCCTTTAGACGGTTCCTTTTCTTTAATTTCTAATTCGGGCTTAGTGGTATCCTTTGCATCCGGGATTACTTTAGAACTTTCTTTTATTGGGATTTCAGGCTTTAATTTGGGAGCTTCTTCTTTCGCCACTTTCACATTTTCTTTTTTCTCGTCACTTTCCGATTTAGACTTGCTCTGATCATTTATTTCGACGTCATTTACTTTTGGTAATTCGGATTTTTTAATTTCAATACTGTCTTTAATTTTGGGCACATCCGCGACTTTGACCTCTTCAACTTTATTGGTCGGATCACTTGGTTTGGAAGGTACGTCATTTTTAATAATTTTATCTTCCGGTTTTTTGGGTATGTCCAATTCTTTCTTTTCAACATCGTCAATTTCTACTTTTTCATCTTCATCTTCGTCTTCATCTTGTTCTTCTTCATCGTCGAAAATTTCTTCGATTTCTTCCTCGTCTTCATCTAAAATCGCACCATCATCTTTGTCCTCCTCAACAGGTGGAATTATATCCGCCGATTCTTCGGGTTGATCCTTAGGGCAGGACGAACCGTCTTGGATCGATTCTGTGGAGACCTAAAAATAAAAATACAAAACATTAGATTTTATTTATTTTTGATCAGAAATATTTTAACGACTAGATTTTTAAAATAATAATTGTAAGCACGTCGGCAAGAGTACACCATATAGGCGAGTACAACATGTGCCAAAAATCTCAAGTGTTTAGGCATTTACTACGGTACTGCATGTTATAAATTTACAAATTATTCTTAACTTTAACAATAACTTTGAAAACTACCATATGACTAACATTGGAAATACGCCAGAACATAATAATTTCTATTCAGTTAACTATTATTGTTTTTTTTTTTTTTATACATATACATTTTTATGTTTAGATATTATATGAAAAATATTTATGAATGTAGAACAATTATTGAAATGTTCACAAAAATAAAATTAACTAAGCAACTGAGATACAATGTTCAATTTTAAAGCGTAAATAATCGGAAAATTAAAATACGACTATCATTAGTTGAAACACAATACTTATTAAATGTATACAATTTTTATTTTTATTCTAAAGCTAACAGTTAATAAAAGACTTAAAAAAGAGTATGAGCCAACTTGACACATGATTTTAACTTTAGAGTATAAAATATATAAAAATTGAAGTAAAATCGAATATTATTTCGTTTTTACTAAATTTAATTCGGTGCATATACGAATAATTGTGTCCCAAACTATTTTATAATCAATTTTTGAGTAAGTCGTTTCCAGACAAAAATGACCCAAACACGCAAAATTAAAGGAGAATTATAATATATACATATAACTATATAGGTATATTTGTTTCCAAATTTGTTACAGATTTGAATGATGTACAATGTAATGATGGATACTAAAATTTGAAAAAAATGTTCGTTGTAAATAATGTATTAATTTCCCGAGATGTCGTTCCGTTTTAATTTTCTAAAGGTAATCACGAGTATTCTACGATTGTAATCAGCTATCAGCACGTGAAACAATTTATTGAATCAAATGCATTACGTCGATATAAAAATGATATCTAATGATTAAATATGCAATAATAGCTGAATAGTGCAAGTAGGTATGAATAGGTATTGATTAAATTCAAAATTATCACGTGTAAATTATTTCTATCGGGATGGTCAAAATTGTAAATGTCTCTATGCACGAAGTTTTACCCGGTTGATAAGAAAAAAAAACCGGACAAAAAATCGAAGTCCCGGGATACAAACTTAGAAACACGAAAATCTCGTCCAAAGCTCTAAACCTGGCTATACTGATCCAAGGAAGTTAATGTCCTGATTTCAAAACGCGTAAACCCAAAATCTTTAGTGATTGAAGAACCACGTCGGGTGTGAATATATGTAGAGGTAAAAAACAAAAACCACATTGAATAAGACGTATCATTTCGCAGTAGAAAAGTCGATAATATTTTGTCTATCGTGATCCTGGGCCGTCAATCGGTGGTATATAAAATTCAAAATTTAATAGTTGATACTTTTATTTTACAAGGGAGAGGGGAGAGGAAAATGTGTCGTATAATCGTCATCACGGCCCGGGGTGAACTCTTATTGGCCCGCCCACGCATAACAGTTGTCATCTGCAGAGTTCTCATTTAAAAATAAATTTGCATAAATTATGCAAACTAATGTGATAATAATATATAGGTAATATAACTATCGACATAAATTAGGTATACCTATGGTTACTTAATCGATAACGGTATGTTCGTACTTTGGCAGATTATTGCAATCAGTAATAGTTGGTCATTAATCACTAATAGATTTCATTATCAGTTTACAATGCACTTGTATCGGTGTAGTACCTATGCAATAATAACCATGACTAACACGATTAACCTGTTATTTTATAGCGTTGTTTTTTATTTCCCTATAAAAAAAAACCGCTACAAGTTGTGTAAAATATCGAAACAACTCAAACGCGATAAGTGATTAAATTAAATGAATACGTCAACAGTGACGTGCCCGGGAATTTAAAACCGTGAGTACGGAAATTCATCAAAACAGTCACTTTTCAGCCGATAAACGAAATTGTTTCCTTGTAACTTGGATGAAATACATATACGTTTGAAGACCGGATGACTAAATAAGTCGTTGTATTCTATACGATTACTTACGACGAGTGGACTTTGAGAACAAATTAAAATAGACACTCGATATCGGTGTATTCGTAACGATTATTATTGAAAATCATAGCGGTGATCTTTGCTCGTAATGAACCGAATTACGTAAACTTAAAAAAAAAAAAAAAAACCGACTAGATTTAACTGATAGCGTCCGCGTCTACGTGGAAACGATAAAACCGGAAACGTTATTTCGAATGGGCGTATAATAAACGATGATGAGATGAGCGTCTGTAGCACTCGTGCGACTACAGGCTGTACCGCGTGATTTAACGTCGTTATGTACCAGCGGTGGGGAAAAAAGGGAGGGTCTGCATGCGGTCCGATTAAAAATAGAAACGTCGTACAAAAGTCGACGGCCGAACCGTCTGCACGGCGGTCGCGTTGTTTTGAACGGATTTTTAACGTTTCGTGTCGACGACGACGTCCGCATATTCGGGGAGAAAAAAATATACCGTGCGGGGGCAGTGACGTTCGAATTTCGTACACTTATCGTGTCGGATTTCTCCTATCCCGGTCATATTTATGTGGTTTGTGTTGACTATGTTCGAGCATCCGACACATAAATCGAAAACGAAAAGACATTTATAAAATATTTTGGAAATTAGGATCGCGTCGCTGTAAAAATAATATAACGCTATTGTCAATGAAAATTATTGCCGGTCGTGATTTATTGAAAAAAAAAAAATAATAACAATCGACTTTAACGAAAACCCGGCGGTGTGTTGATAATATTCCCGGATTTTTTCTTTTTAAAGGGATGGGGGTTGTGCTTCTCCAGTATGAGCGATGTCGGGAGAAAAATGGCCTACTACCTATTCAACGCGCCAGACGACCCGGTATTCGGAATTCTACGAGAAAACCCTATACGATTAAGTCTTCTGGTCGGTATCGTGTCAGGAAAAAAAAATCGCACACCATAGTAAACACCGATGCGCATTCCATCAGCAGAATCTAAAAAAGATTCGTTATCCTATTCGTATCGGTTAGGTCAGAGAATCGTTTTGAACTCGTGCACGACAGCGACGGCGGCGGCTATAGTCTCGCATACCACGCGTATGACTCATCGTCAAGGCGTAGGACGGCCACGAACCATTTTTAGTATTTTTTTTTTTTTTTCTTCTCCTTCTTTCAAAAGAACTACGTCTCGGTGATTACGCACCTTTTCACGATAGGTCGCCGTAAAACGAACACGGTATGTATATATATTATGTATGTATCGTGCATTTTTAACACTATGCATAATGCGCGTATTCTCTGCAGACGAACAATAATAATAGGCGTTATACGTGCCTATACGGAGTTTTAAAGTCAATATACACGGGGACGTATTTTATAGGGGAGGGGCAGGGGAAAGACGTCACACGCGAGCGTGTAACGTTTCAAGAAGGCGTCATAATCTTTTAATATGCACGGTGAAGTCAACGGACGAATAGCATCCGGTAACCGCGGTGTTGCCATATACGGTGATACGAAACTCCTGAAATCGAAATAATTACGCAACGATAAACCGTTGCTAGCGAAAAGACGACTCTGGGTGAAGTTCAGTTGATATTGAAACTTTTTCAACAATATATGTGTCATATTATGGTGAAATAATTGAATGGACATTATATATATTCTTTAATAAAATGTGTTTAATGTTGTACCAATTTTCCCGTTTGTTTTACGTTTTTCCACGTTCTAGGGTACCTCCCCAGTCCGATTTCCTGACATGAAAGGGGCCACGCTTAAACTGCTCCCGAAAAAAAATTATGTTTTGAGGAGTTGCGGAGACGCGCGACTCGAAATTCCAGTGTAGAGAAAATTTTTTGGAAAAATTTGTTCTTACGAACGGGCGACGGTGGCCGCGGTGAATACGCGTCTCCGGGTCCGCGGAAATATCGATAAAGGCGAGAGGGGGCTAGCGGAGAGAGGGGAAATACCACGTTCCGTTTCGGATGCTCGTCAAAGCGAAAAATACGAAACCCCGGCTAAATCGTCCGGGCAAAGAATACCGGGGGGGGGAGGCAGGGGGAAGGGGGGGAGGGTGTGTTCGGTATACGATAAACGTCGTTTGTGTACGAACTGTGTACAATCGGATCCGAGTGATACGGCGACCCGCGCACAACAATAATCGCGTCGAAAATATCGCCGGGTACTTTTATTATTATAATGTTTTGTTACGGCCCGACGGTTTCGCAGACGGCGGCGGCGGCGGTTATGCGGTTCGCCGGGGCCGGAAAAAAAGACGTTCACACTCGATAAATATAAAATGACGCGCCGCCGTCGTCGTTATCGCGAACAATAATAATAAAATAGGTATTACGGGTGTGGATTGATTTTTTTTTTCTATAAAACGTAAAAACGATGGCGCAAATTCGATTAGCCCCCGAGAAAAAGCCCATGAAATAACCAAAAACTAAAACGATTTCTGGACGCCGAGCGCGTACGGAACGTATCGATTTCACTGTACAATATTACGATGATGCGTGCGGAGTTTTTTTTTTTTTTTGTGCGTGTCTTTTCACGACTTTTCCACAGAAATCTCGCTCCGACCGTCGAGCATCCGTGCTGAGCGCGAATCGTGTCCTGTCGATACGTCCGGGAAGTCGTTCTTCGACTTTCCGTGTAGTTTTTCCGATATTTTGGGGGGGGGGATCAGAAAAAAAAACGTAAGAAAACCGGAAAACTTACGAAGGTTTCGTTATTTTCAATTTTGTTTATTATTCCGTATTGCGGTTCGGTCGAAAACAATCCGAAATGTTCGCCGAAACTCTCATCGCGTATTTGGTACGTTTCATGTATAACATATCGTGGCGATTTCCCCGCGGTCGATATCAACGTTGCCGGTTTTTCTGTTTTCGAATTTTTTCGAAATTCGGAAATCGCCAACAAATTTTTGTTCCGCGACCGTCGCGGTAACGTACCGCTCTCGGGAGCGGTTTCAGAACGCCGTCGTTTCAGCCCGTCGCCGAGACGCCGTCGGCACGACGTGTATCGATATTTCAACCGCAAGAGCTTCAATTATTATGCATTGCCGTGTGACATTTCCGCACGGCGCGAACCGGGAACGTTCAAACGGACGCCGCAAACGCGTCGTAAACGCGGCGTCGCGCAGACGACAAACGAAGAATGGAACGCGTCCGGGTTTAATGCGGGGCCGTGGTTTGTTTTTTTTTCCCCCCCGTTTTCGAGGGTGAGTGAGAACGCCGAGAGGAAATAAAAACGATACGGGACGTTATTTTTCGTTAAACGAGTTACGCACGAAAACCGTTTTGTCGAAAACAAAACATACCAAAAAAAAAGACGCCGCAATTATTACTGTCGTAGTAGTTAATATACGAACGCGCGTTCGCGCCCCCGAACACTGGGAATCTGAACGCTTATTTTAATTTATCGCCGTCCGTACGTTTCGATCGCGTTTAAGAGGCGACGCTATATTATTATTATTATACCCGGAGGGCGGTAAATCACTGACGGAAATCGGCGTACAACGAATGTTTGGCGATCTTACAGAAAATCCCGTAAAAAAAAAAAAAAAATCCCGGCAATTACCGGCAACGTCATGGTATTCTGGCGTCCGGCGTACACGGTATTGATCAGTGATTTGCCCATTGGCCGTACCCGCGCGTCGTGTGCGCCGACCAACCAAACCCGACCTAACCAACGGGCGACGTCTGGCAAAATCTGTCTCCAGAGAAAAAAATCTCTCTGGCAGAACTCGCTCCGGAATTCCGGTTGTGGCAGTAAAAGCGCCCGTTGCGAAACCAAAAGCGGACAACGTTCCGGAGGGGTCAAAAGACGGCGCGATTGTTTTTTTTTCTTTTATATGTTACAGTCATTTAGAAAAAAATATTAAAAAAATTAAAAAAAAACGATAATTAGGTCTCGTTCAAACGATGCATTGAACGTTACAACCGGAATAATAGGAATAAAACGCATGGTCGTCTTGCCCTCCGTAATAGTGTCCCATTTCAACTCGACAACAGGTGTTTTAAAATAGAACGGCCATACGTCCCGTTTTATGCGGGATTGTCTTTTTTGCTCAGCTTTGTGTTCTGCAATTGTACTGCGTGTGTGGTCGCCTCCCACCTCCCGCACCCCAGACCGTGCACGGGCAGAGGCGCTCGCGAACGACCGGCAACGCGATTTAATAAACGGGCCCGCGGCCCCGGCGGACGGATCTTATTGCGCGGCGCGCCCGCCCTTATAATCCGAGCGGGCGCAAAGTTTATCCCGCCGGGCAGCACGGGGCCAGGTGAACCACCCCCCCCCCCCGCGTGATTATTGTTGTCGTTATTACGGACCGGCGTCGCGCGGACATGAGCGCAGCGTAATACGGCGCCGCGACGTGCCCGCCGCCCGGCAAAACTCTCAATGATCGTTATCGTCGCCGTACAGTCGTGGACAGTAATACATACGCGCGCGTGCGGGGCGGTGTACAGGGCGACGTTGTTTTATCGATCAACGGGCGACGAGCGTCGATAATTGCACTGTTATAACGGAGTAAATTCGATTCGGTTTTGATTTTGTTTTTTTTTTCTTTTCAACGGTCGCGGTGTATCCGTCGTTAACGTGTTCGAAACTTCCGGAAACGCGGGTCGCTTTTGGAAAATCAAGTGGAAATATACGACGAATAAAAAAAAAAAACACACACACACACACGAAAATTGCTTTAGATCAATACTCGGTGAAAACACCGCGGTGTCCCGTTGAATGTCGGGAGAATAATAAAGTGGCAAACGGTTCTCGTTATCGTGTTTTAAACGATATATTCTGTAACGGGCGTGTTTCGCAGGCGGTGCAGTTTTGAGCAGACTGCAGGTTGCTCGCTACGGGATTTAACGAATACAAACCGTTCGGGGCGATATCGTTTCCTGCGATCGTCGTTTGATAACTGAATGCGCTTTCCGACATCCGGGTCGCCGTGATCGGCAAACAATTAAAAACTTCGGTTACCGTCTCCGGTAACTGCAACACTGCAGATTGACCGTCCGTAAAATACGGTACAGTATAAACAAAACTTTCTGGACGGTACTGCGACCGGGTAGCGATACAATTGATGCGGCGAACTGATTACCGAAAACTGCATCGTCAAAACGCGCCTAATGATTAACGACTGGGAGGCGAGGGGAGGGGGAGCGGAGGAAAGGGAGCCGATAGTGCTGATGAATGTGCCGCTGTTGGAAAGGTGGAAAGTTGAGAAAATAAGATATTATTATATTGTTCGTTTGCAGGGGATACATACAAAGTCGTTTAATTTATATCTGCATATGCTTACGGAACGATAACCCATTGCCGACGGAATACGATTCTGAACAAAGTTCGGTTAAACTATATATTGTTTGAAACGGCCCTTAACCTTTACGTAAAAAAAAAACTACTTCATTACGCTCAACTCGTTTTCCTCATTGTACCATTAAGGGCGACTTACAATGGACGTTGTGTTGAAACACACAACAATATTCCCTTCGGAGAAAACAATATTGTATCCGAATAAAATAGCTAAACAAAACTAGAAACTGTGAAGTACTTATGAATATAATGTTTTTGAGAATTTCGCCACGTCTAGAAAACGGCGCACACACAGTTATTCTGTGAAAATTTCAATTGTTTTCAACCGAAATAAAAAAAAAAATAAAATAATATTAAAAAAACAGCCGTAAACTTCCCTATTTTCTCTATACTTTTTCCCGGTAATTTCCCATTATCGAGAAAAACAAAACACGACCCTCTGAGGCGCCGACTTGAATACAGATCCGAAACGCTACGGAACATTCGTAGTGTCGTATTTTTTATTATTTTTTTTTTTTTTTTTTTGATCGGAGTAATAAGATTTCCACGGTAAGAGAAAACTCGTTTGTAGACAGAAACGAAAATCGAACCGCGCACATTAAGAGGGACGTTACACCCGCATCTACCGTCCAAGTCCGACTACCGAGTAACACGCAGAAACAACGCTTACGCAGACTGTAAGTAAAACTAGTTTGATTTTGATTTTCGAGTAAAAGTACCTATTATACGTTTAATAAAGACCAGAATATTTCGAAGGGAATGGCATGGGTGTTTGTTTTTCGAATTATGAACTTTTTTCAAAAAATGTACAGTGATTCGAAAAACAAACAGAAAAAAAAAAAAATAAAGGTTTTCGCGTCTTTTACATCGATAGCCGCGTTCGCCGTCTGACATTCCCTATTTCAATGATACACACAAGTACTTTCACTATGAAATCGAATCCGAGCCGGTTTTGCCATGTACTGCGCTAGCGTTGTTTTCGCGCGCGTCTGACCGAGACGGTAGATGGGGAGGAGGGAGGGGGGGGAGGAGTGGTAACGTCCTCGACGCGTATTGCACGCCGCGTTCGGGATTCGACGACCGCACTGCCCGGATTCGCGTTCGCGGACAATCGCCCCGTACGATACCGCAATGTCATGATGTTATCGTACCCGTTCTGTAATGTTACACTCGCCGCCGTTAATTATTCGGGTGTTGTGTGTTTGCGGGGGCGAATATCGCCGTAAACGCGACGGCGGATGCTGCGCGGGTATACCAGCTCTCCTGGACGCGTGGGCCGGTTGCGCGTCCGTCGTACAACAATCGAATCGGGATGGTGTTGTTATATTTTTTTATTTTTTTTCCTCTCTCTCTCTCTCCTCAACTATCGTATTCCCACGCGGCGTACAGAAACGATTGTTACGGGAGACGATCGTCGACGGAGAATGGAGAAATAAAAAAAAAAAACCAAAACCAAAACAAACAACGATAACGCAATGCTCGGGGAGCCGCGCCTATGGCAATGCGCGTATCGTTTTACCCGCGAGACGCGCCGTGATTCACAAATTATTCGCGAATGTATTTTTACGTCCGTTTCGGCGGCCGGCGAGTGCGGGCGACGGGCGCTTTTATTAACGGCGGGCTCCGTAACCGGACGAGTGCGACGGCGGCAATGAAAACGCGATTTGCCCACGCAAATGGACGACGCGGGCGCAACAAATAGAAATATTGCGGATTTCGCGATTCGACAATGGTAATGACGTCCGCCGAACGATCGGACACCGACGGCCGTAACAACCTCGACGGGTTTTTTTTTTATTATTATTATTATTGTTATTATTATTTTTTCTCGTTCTCTTCTTGCGGTCACGGTGTGCCGCGTAATCCCGGCGCACACCGAGGAACAATTACGCGAAGTGACTAATGCGTCGTACACGCATACACCTCCCTCCTACCGCGGTTATCTTGTATTTTATACCTAGGTACCTAGGTACCTACCTCTATTGTACACTGTGCAACGAGATTTCGTTGTTCGCGAAATAATAATAACGCGCCGCCGAATTTAATCCGCGGCGCGGCTCAAGGACGGCCGTTTGAATGGAAATTGATCGTATATATAGGCACGGTTTTGTGGTTTGTGTTTTTTTTTTTTTTTTCCACTTGTGAGTCATACCGAAATTATTATTATTATTAATAATATCACGAGACGAAAAACGCCGTCGTCCGGACCGGCAAACCGAGAACGAGAACCGTGAATATAACGCGATCCCCCTCCACCCCCCCGTATACGGACAGACACGAGCTGTGTCCGTACGCCAACTGTTTTCAAACCGTCGAGAAATTCCTCCAGACTCCTCCTCGACGTTCAATAACGGGATAACGGTGCGTGTTCCGAAAATAATCGCGTCGAAAACGACACGTAACGCCGTAGCTCGCGTCGGGATGAAGGGGGTATGCAAGGCAGGGGCGCGTCTCGAAGGAGGCACGTTCGAATCGCGCGGACCGCAAAAAACCGGACAAAAAAACCGTGTGGGTGGATGTCCGGGGATATGGAGAAAAATGATTACGTTTCCACAACACGAGTCGTCAATAAAAGATTTTTAGACAGCGGAAATTTGATAAATTTGACGAATTTCATTGAAATTTAACAAATTCCACAATACATTCGCGGTGCAGTAAGGGTATTTTTGGGCTGGACTGAGTGGAAATCGTATCGGTAATTCGAGGTGAAAATACTTCGATGCGCCACTGTGCGCAAGGCAGAGACATGTCTCGCCCGTCCGGACGTTCCGTACCCGTCATTGAACACGATTACGGTTTAACGAAAAAGATCAATGTCGTTGTAAAATAGAATCGAAAACGATACCTTGTCCCGCCGCTCCTTAGATTTTTGAACACGTACGCCCTTGACTTTATATACGCGTAAAGCGTTTTTTTTAAACAAGGTTTCCCGTGTCCAAATTACCGTCACACTGCAGTTCAAGTCCATTTTGCTTCAATACTGCGTGCGCCCATTAGACATTAAACGTTTAACGGTTAAACGGATAGATGGAGAGTACTCTCGACGGCGGAGAGAGGGATAACACAAGAAAGTCCAAAAGTTAGGTAGACGGATTGGTCTATCTGCTCGTGAAGTTTTTTTTTTTTTTTTTTTTTTTTAAGAAAGGGAGTGGACAAGCAGTGGGTAATCGTTAAAAAAAATGCCCTGTCGTGAAACTAGGAAGAGCGGAGGAAATCCGGATCAAATATTTTTTGCTGAAAAAGTTTGAATTTCACTTCAAGACGCGGCTCTATTTGTTTTATGTTCGCATAAAAAAACTCCGATTTTAATTTTGAAAAAAAAAAAGCCGGCCCCCATTCCAGTTCTCCGTAACGTTTATAAATAAGGCATCGCTGGTGGCGTAACTTTTAAATTATTTTTTAGTTAATTAGTTATTTCTCTGGTTATTTCCTTGGTAATTTCTGTTTGAAAAAAAAAAACGCAATTTTAAAAGTTTTTTAATCATTCTTACAATAGGTGTATATACCTACCTATATAATGTTAAAAACGAAAATTAAAAATTGACTCGAACGGACGCGTCAAAAGCAATGGTATTGAAAAATCTAAAGTACCCAGAAAAGTACCTATCAGCAGTTTTCAAAACTATTATCGTTTCAGAGCTGGTCCAGCGCCCGATATAGAATTAAATTTGTTTTCAATCGAAAATACGCAGGTGTACAGATAAAAAAGTATGTAAACAATGAAATATGACGAAAATCAACGAGAAATTAATTTTTTTTTTTTTGTCAACGTTAATTTGTATTAATTTGTATCGTGAAATTTGATTAAAGCTGCGAACAGTAACTATAAGTAACTATAGTAAAAAGTTAACTATAATTGTATTTATGATGATATTAACTAGTTAAAAAAAAAAAAATGTNAAATTAATTTTTTTTTTTTTTTTTTTTGTCAACGTTAATTTGTATCGTGAAATTCTATTAAAGCTGCGAACAGTAACTATAGTAAAAAGTTAACTATAATTGTATTTATGATGATATTAACTAGTTAAAAAAAAAAAAAATGTCGGAAAATAACGTTGTTATAATTAATTATTTTTAATAAACAATTTTGTCCTAACTTAGTTATGGTATTTTTGGTGCTTTTGTGTATAAAAAAAATACCCGTGTACCTATAGGTCGTTTACCCAGCGATAAAAATCTACACGAGTCTTGCGAAAGCATAAAATATATTCGAGTACGAAATACGTTTATCAGTGATTAATTAAGAGTGATAATTTTAAAAAATGAACTTTTAACACTGGACTGGAGCTATAATTTTCCCAAACATACGTAACTCAACTCAATACAGTATGTAGTTACTAAAAACTCGTAGATTAGAATTGAAATTGACTCGGTTTGGTTATTTTTTTTTTTTTTATATAACAATTTAAACAGTTAAAACAAACAATCGCGTAACTCGCCCGGCTTTGAGTTGCGCGCCGGCGTTACGACTATCCCGACTCGTAAACTATCAGCAGCACAGCACAGCCAGAGCCCCAACACTCGAGAATTTCGGGACCCGGGGATGATTTTTTGACGGGGCCCTTAAACCAAACCACGAATCCGGGGGTGAAAGAATAAATTCTATCCAGTCCGGTAACTGAACAATCGATTATAATATAAAAAGTTTCGATCTCTAATGTTTAGATTCTGAGCGGATCGAAGAATGTATTGGTTTTATAACGATGTTTATTATATTATCAATTTTGCTCCGATTTTCAAATACAGCGCTTTTTCTGAAAGGAAATCGCACTATAGGGTGATGGCACTTTAAAAAGAGGTATATTTTTTAATTCTTCCGGGAGTCTACTCGATAAATGGGATATCATGGTAAAAACGGGAAAACAGAAACAATATTAAATATGATTAAAGGAAATTCATATCGTATAGGTATGTAATTATTTTACCATAACGTGACATAGACATGGTATTGTTGACAAAGCAACACTATTAACTGACTCCGCTCGGAATCGTTTTTCGTTAGCAACGGCTTTATCGTTGCGTACAGATATACACATTCAATTTCCCCTCTACCTTCCCAACTCCTCGCCAACGACATTACGCCCATCCACGCGGCGGAGTTTGTCCGTCTTTTTTTTATTCTACGAATGTTCGAACTATTATTTTCAACCGTGTCGCGTCCGGGGATTTATATCTGTCCCGGTGGCCGGCGTGAAATGATAGAACGTTTGTTATTCTCGCGGTCGGTTCGCGCGTGTCCGAAACGCCGTCGCCGTGGTGCGAATAACACGCGAAATTTCCGCGAATATTGCGTATATAATCGTAAATATGGTCCGGACGCGAAATTTACGAACGCCTTCTGACATTGTCCGGGTACACGGGTGGCCGCCTCCTGGCCCGACGCGTCGATAATTTTGGTGTCGCGTAACAGCCGCGGGTCGGACGGTGCCGTTCAGAGGTCTGGGCATCTGGGCGTCGTCGTCGGAGTGCGAAACACACGTCGTCGCATTACGCGATGTTCGGTTTGTTTGTGACGGCGAAAAAATGAAAACCCCCCCCGAAAAAAAAATGTTTTCCGTCCGTCCGCGGTTGAACACCGCGCGGAAATTGTCGAAAATCGCCAAACGACACGGACCAACACTGGCCCCGGACGAGAATCGGTCGTGTGCGACACCGAGAGCGGGCGACGTTGCGCTTTTCATCGGCTCCGTCTTCCGAACGTCGGGGGCGCATATAAATGAAGACGTGGGGGGGATACCCTCGGCCCGTGGGCCGTTGCCCGCCGTGCCACCGCAGCGGTACGCCACTGGCCCCTAGCGATAGCGCCTATAGCAACTACACGACCGTCCCGCGACCCGCGAATAATACGGCCCGATGGGTTATACATGGGCGTTTCGAACGATCGGCGCCAAAGATATTGAAACCGAGAGCAGAGCGAAATCCACTCTGCTGAACACGGATTCGCCGCGTTCGTAAGACAAAGGAAACGGAATAACATTACGCGTGCTGGTGGTGATCGCGGTGCCGCCGTTATTCCTTACGCAATACCCGTACGTAACGCAATAACGTGCGCGAGCTACGTCGGGCAAACGCTACAAAGGCCACGCGTTAAACGGCACCGCCGCACAGAAACCTAGCTCTCTTTATCGCTCGCTTCCTCGCTCTTATCGCGGTCGGATTAATTCGCGTCGAATTGTCGCGGGCTTACAGCATTATTTATTATTATTGTTATTATCGTCTTCGGGGGTTGGCGAGTTGGCGGGTTCCCCGCGGCGCACCGACAGTAATACTATTACCGTCCGCGTTCATAGAATACGCGCGAAAATAGCCGCAGTGTTGAATATTTTACTATAACGCAGTACCGTCGGTGACTCACGCGGCCGGACACGGCGAGCTGTAATACCGTTCGCGTTACACGCATAATGGGAGCAAAAATAGAAAAACGTCACGAGGATAACCGTTCGATTTCTCGGAACGAGAAAAAACCGACCGGATCGACGGGCCGCGACGGCGATAATGGAAACCGCATCGAAAAACCGGCGCGATGACGGGCGAAATAACGTCGCGACGGGTAACCCTACCGGAACCTCCGGGGAAAAAAAAAAAAAAATGATAATAATAATACGGCGTTTGTGACTTTGCATATGATCGTATAAAATACACGTCATCCGCGCCGCCGCAAACGCATTAACGTCGCGCGCGTTTCGGCGTACGTGTTGTACAAACACGCCGCCGCCGCCGCCGCCGCACGGACGACACGTAAACACATCTGCGTGTCGTAAAAACGGAAAAGCCGCCGCCGCACGGGGAAAAACATTACGGCGGCCGCGGCGACGGGCAGAGCTCAGATGCGCTCGGCCGCGGCCCTGCGCCGAGTAATTTGGCCGTTTATATAAATAGACCGGTCGGTTACTATCTACGCTTATTAATAAACGCGCGGCGCGCACCGGCGACGGCGGCGACGACTCCGAATGCGCCCGCACGCGTCGCGTCGCGCCCGTGTGTGCGTGCGGGCGCGCGAGTTCCGACGACTCCCGCGATGTTTTTTTTTTTCTGCGCCCCGCGCCCCCGCGCGTTTTCGATTCGCCGGCGACCGCGGCGGCGTGCCTGTAGACAAGTGGGTACGATAGGTCGCGAAACCTTGACCTCGTACGGACGCCCGCGACCTCGCCTAACCCGCGACCAAAGCCGCCGGGCCGCCGGACGTGCGGAAAAGACGCGCGCGTATAAAACTACGAGAAAAATCGTCGCGATCGACTCGGCGGGACTCGGATGTCGCGTGTCCGATCGATCGTTACCGGGGGATGGGGGCGGGGGAATGGGTGTGAGAGGGGCAGGCGAAACGTGCGCGTCCCCCGTGCGCCGCGCGCGACACAGCCGGGGGGGAAAACGCTACGCGACCGTCGATGCCCGCGGTAACGATGGAGGGGGAGGGGGAGACGAGGGGCGGACAAAACGCGAAAAAAACTAAACGCCGGTCGATAAACTCTAGACTAAAAAACGTAACAATAGTGATGGCATCGTGCGCGATGACGAGCTTACCTGTCCGAAGAAAAAGTTCCACACGATCAGCAGGTACCGCTTGAGCACGTCGACGAACATGGCGACGTCGCGCGTGGACCGGTCGCGGCGGAATACTGTGTTGCTGTGGCGGCGTTGGCGGCGTTTGGTGGTGGTGGTGGTGGTGGTGGTGGTGGTGGTGGCCGCCGACGACCGTTGACAGACCGCACGTAGGCACACCGGGGCAACGTTCGCACGCGTTCAAATGGAACCGATTGGAACGGTACGCGGACGCGAGTCGACGGACGACGGCGGAATGCCGACGGAACGCGCACTTTGCCGTGTGTGCGACGGGTATACGCGGTGCACCGCACTGCAACTGGGCGCACGCGGTTATCGCCGTAAAGTTTGACGAAGGTGACGGAGGCGAGACTGATAACGGAGTACCCGGCGACGGCGACGTCGACAATAACACTGAAATGATTCGTTATCCCGAGCGATCGGAACAATAAACGCTATGTATTGTTATTCACTGACCGTGCGGCGACACTGACGACGCGTCCCGTACGACGGTTTGCGAATAAAGCGATAGTATCAAACGAAAAAAAAAAAAATGATAATAACAGAATATTGAAAACACCGACAACACGGGCGACGCGTAACGCACTACAGCGGTGCGGACTGTACAGCGGCGGCGTCATACGGTTGCGGCGACGACGAAAATGCAACGGCAATAGCGTGTTTGGCGGGGGACGTGAAGAGGGGCGAGAGACTTTGAAAAAAAAAAAAAAAAAAATACGTTCGCTCGGATGACGTCAAGTTTCCGTCGCCTCTATTAATAAATAGACGACCGACAGTTGAGCGCGCGCACGCGCGCGCGCGCGCGTGTTTGCGGTTGTGCTGCCGCCCGTACCGTCGCCACTGCAGTGTGCAGTTGTATGTAGCCGCATGCAGTGGCGATCGATTTTCCTTTTCCTCGTAACATTGTTATCACTAAGCACTCGACGACGACCCCGATCGGGGTATCGGATATAGTTGATGACGGATTCTCCGGGCGGTTACGATAATACGGTTTCCTCCCCCCCCCTCCCCGTCATTTTAGCGTTTATTTTCGCGAGATATTACGCGTCGGTCATAATAATAGTTTCGAAACGTAATCAGACTGGTATTTCGGTGTTTTCAACTTTTGGTCGTACCGAAAATTCCTGCGACATGCCGTCACTTACGATATTAATTCATTCGAAAATAAACGCATTATTTGTTACTCCCGATTATTTGTACTCGTTTAAGGAATATTGTGCAAAATCATCGTTACAAAACCGAACGAAAACCATTCTGAGCGGAGTACTGTTTAGTAGTGTTTTGTCCGTTGTTGTCGAGATAACTCGAGTATGTTTTTTTTTTTATACATATATACATACGTAGTTTAGGAAATCCTGATTTTTTAACGACCGTGCCGATTTCCCGACAACCGATACGAAATATCAGGAGCATGTTTACTTACCGTTTTTACCGAGGAAAACAATATTATTGTAAAACTATTAGCTAACCACTTCGTAGCTAACCCAAAATTAATAATTCTCTAATAGGTAGTTCGTAGTTTCTAGAGAAAAAAAAAAACATCGTTTTTCAAACACTATTCTTAGTGTATGTGTATGTAAATATTGTAATATTTTAAACACTAAAAAACTCGCATACTTGGCGTCAACCCCGAGTGTGAAAGATAATAACGTTCATCAGTGTCGAGATGATGCTCCGAGTAAACACGCGTGTGATTTATTTTCTGTAAATATACCTATTATGTTTTGAACAAGCGAAATAAAAATACATTTTGTTCGAAAATAACGAATTCCATTATGTCGTATAGTAAACCGTATGACCAGTGCAGACCGACTGCGAGTGTTTTTTTTTTTTTTTTTTTTTTTAGTTTTTTCTCCGGCGGGTTGCCTTTCCACCGCCGACCGAAATATATTGACAATTTCCATTTCCCCCGATTTTCCGTAGTTGGTTTTCAAAGAAAAACCGACGCGCTGTTTAATACCCGTATACGCCAGTAATTTCGGTGCATTTGAATTCGAACAGTAGGTAGGTAGTATTACGTAGTTATAAATGTAATACAGTGTGTGTTTGATGAACTGTCCTTTGAGCAAATGTTTGAACAGCCGTTGAATCCAAACCGTTATACACTATAACTGTATATAATTATAACATTATACTCGTACGAATACTGCCGGACCGCCGTGTCGTCGTGCCGAAATTCTCGAGAGGACCCTTCAAAACCCCTACCCTATACAGGGTGAATATTTTATCATAAACCATACAGCGATTATTGTACGAAGATTTCGAGTAAATCCGATCATGTTTATTTTCTCTTTTCTTCAGTCAATATAATATTATGTACAGAATCGTTTCTCTCTCTCTCTCTCTCTCTCTTTCTCTCTCTGTGTGTGTGTGTGGTTTTAATCCGAAGATCGGTTTGCAGCCACTTTCCGCTCTTCGCTACAGTCCGCTTTTCTTTTAATTTCTACCTATGAATCGCATCCTCGGTCCTTTATCAATTGTTGGATGCATTCTAGTACCCAGTGCTCGCATTGATAAAATAAAAGAAGAGGGACATAAAAATATATTAGCGTCCTTTGCAATTATTGAACTCAACCCAACCCGCGAGAAGCTTAGCCCTCCACACCTCCCATACCAATTTTAAAACATAATTCAGTAATTCATAGTATCCGAAAACAAACACTACCTATTGCAGACTAACTTTTGCTTACATAGTACCTACTTTAGTAAATATTATTTATTTTAGATTCTAATAACATGATTACTACTATGATGATTTATTTGTTCTTTTTCTTTATGTGAACCACTTTTATACTTAGTAAAACCTTGTTCTTGCTAGTATCTTGGTCTTCCTCTATGATTTTTCCTTACAAACTTCCTTCTATAATTAATTTTAGTAATCCTACATGCCGAATTATTTTCCTTATCCATTGATTCCGTTTTTTTATACTATACTTTTCCATATAGTAATTTTCCTTCCGACATTCAAATTCTTCCAGTCTTTTTTCGGTCTTCTACAAATATTGTCCAGGTCTCGCACCCGTATAATACTGTACTCCATACATTTGTTTTCAATAGGTTTTTTTCTAATTGTAAGGCTAATGTTCTTTGAAGTAAGTAAGATTTTCTTACTGTTAGAGACTATTTTAACTTGGTAAATACTTTTTACTATTTCATTATTATTACGTCCATCATTGCTTATTATACTTCCTAGACACACAAATTCATCTATTTGATCTATTCTTTTATTTCCTCGTAGCTTTAAATCTACTCTTGTTTTTTCCCTTCTATGTGGAAATACTTGTGTACAAGTACTTTGGTTTTTTGTACATTTATTTTCATTCTCAGATCGTTATTAAATGTTTCATTCATTGTTCTTCTTAACTTCTGTAAATCTTTCTCATTCTCAGCAATTATTAATATGCCATCAGCGAAGCGTAACATACTTATTTCCTAACCGTTAATCCTTATGCCCGAATTGATCTCTTCCTTTATCTTATCTATTACTTCTTATACACATTGAATATAATTGGAGATATCGCGCATTCTTGTCTGACTCCTTTTTTTTATTTTCGCCTCCTCTATATTATCTTGTATTCTTATGATAGCTGATTCATACTTATATAGGTTGTACAGAAATCTCCTGTTTGCGTTTAATGATCGTTTATATTTGCGATTGTTTGAACTATTCGCCCTCATTCCGTGTATCGTACATACACATAAATCAACCATTGATTTTCAAATACGTTTTTAAACACTATAATAATGACGTATTTATGATGGTATTATTAAACGCGTGAAATTTTAGTAAAATAATGGTAAACAAGATCGTCGACCGAAATATCAAAATATTTACTCAAAATCTTCGTAGTTATAATCGCTGGTCTGTGGTAAAATAATCGCCCCACATAAGTTATATATAAACGGCACCATGTCCACTTAAAGTCTGCACTTCTACGGTGCCGCTGAAACAAATAAACTAATCCTAAATGCATTGAGACGGAAGATTACAATCTGGAAAACAAGCATTCGACTACCGGTATTGTTCAAAATTAATTTATAACAAAATTAACTCATACGGTTAGATTAGGTACATATGCATTTATAAACGACTTTATTTAGTAGTGACTATTACTGTACGGGTACATACCCTTCACCACTGGTATAGACATACAAATTATATCTTATTCTATAGGTATTAATATACTGTAAATATAAGAAAATTATGTAGTTTCGTACAATATAATAATTTTAGTAGGCATTTCTTCAGCTAGTATTATATTGGTAAATTTAAATTCTGTCAGTCTATCCGCTATATAAATCCACAGCTTTATTCCGATCTTGTTGAAACTTTGCAAACTTGGCATTAAAAACACGAAGACCATCGATATCGAAATTTAACGACTAAAGGGTGGCTGACACAGGATTTTTTGGTATTTTTAGAACGAAAATTGAATTTTTTTTTTTATTATTATTATTTATGGGCTACATCGGTGACATGGATAAAAAAAAACAGTTATTATTATTTAATTTTGTTGTCACGAACAAGAAAGTACCCTTTTTAAAAATAAATTGCCGGACAATAACGATTATTAACTGTGATTGGGATAAGGGTGGGAATGGGGAGACACGTTAAATTGAATTTTTTTTATTGTCTTCTGTTTTTGAAAGGATTAAGCCCCGGTAATACCAAATAATTCAGTTAGTTACCTGTATTTTTTAATTTATTGAACTTTTGAACAAAATATTATTTTCTAGTGAATCGTAAATACTAAATGATGAAAATTTAAATCCCGGTTTGTTTGCAATAGTCGTGATCACCGTTCGACAGTTCGCGAACCTCATAAACTCGTGTGCTTTGTTCGTCAGAATGATAATAATTATTGCGTATACAATAATTCGAATCCAGAATCCATCGCATTGAAGCATTCGAATATTTGCATAATAATAATAATAATAATAATATGATGTCGTCTGTTGACTGCAGATGTGCGTACAAAATTATGCGAAAACGGTTGAAATAAAGCAATGCGAATAACGCG